ATAAATTTGAGAGAGTTTTTCATTTTATCTCTTTATACCATTTCATATACTGCTAAAATTAATAATATTACATTATTCCAAATGATCACGCATCATCATGTAACAAAATGGACATGACAATAATTTGCAAAGTGCTTATTGACTACATTACGGAAGCTGATTCATTACTATTGATTACATACTGTGCTGCATGGCTGATGTTGTGCAAATGTGCTGGCCCATGATAGCTGATCTCATTGTAACCTCCAGGCACATTTTTTAAGCCTCAGTCTTGACTCAAGCTTTGAAAAATTCAAAGTTCCTAATACCCATCCTCCACAGAAGGTCCTGAAGTTCAGAAGCAAAGGGGATCCTCCACGTTTCTTTCATCTCCTGTGCCTCGCAGACACAATATTGCTTCTTTTCAAGCATTCTTTCAAGTGCTGCTTCATCTTTTTTTTTTTACCATAATCTCTTTTTCGAGTTTCACACTGCGATTCATCTCCTGTTGGTGATTCTGACAGGGATTTCATCTGTCTAAAGGTGTTTAGGTGGTATTTTGTGCAAAGGAATTAATATGCAGTAATTCCCTGTCTGTTCCTTCTCTTTTTTCTTATTTTGCAGATTGTTAAATGGTTCTGACTGGAGTTTCATTTCAAAGAAATTTTGTACAAAGGAGTTCATTTGATTTCTGTTTCTTTTCTTTTTTCAATTTTGCCATGTTTTTTTTAACAAATAATTAAATCACTAATGTTTTCTCTTATTTGCATTCACTTCTGCTACTCTTGTGTGCTATATTATAAAATAAAGAGATCATTGACCAAACAAATTGATATTCAGTCATCATATACCGCTTTATTTTTCTCTGGTGTAGTTTTAATGCTGAAAGGCCTTTTTTGGTTTTTAATTATACCAAAAGAAGAAATATTAATTACAAAAAATGCTGCTCACGGATGTAACTTATCAACCAGCTTTAAGTTTTTTTATGGACACACATGTTTTAAAGAATGGTCCATTGCATCATGTGCCAACAGGTGTTGGATACACATTAGTAATATTTTACGACAAAAAAGAGCATTTGCATACTCCAGATATTGTTAATTCTAATAGCAATGTGTTCCTAATGTGCATTGCTTTATATTAAAGCATCTATAAATGAGTTTGTAGGCCTACTTGAGTTTCGAGTCTCACTGTACCCTCCACAGATCTTAGACATTTGATGATTTCACCCTCCCTCCAGCATGCTTGCTGACTACCGATAACCTGCTTTCTCTCCTGCCCCCATTCATTTGTGTAACCCTCCAACAAATCCCCAGTAGAATTTGACAGATAATTAGCCTACAATACACTTATACTCTGTGAGAAAAAAAATTATTAAGGACTAAATTCATTTATGATGCTTTGAAGGCAACAAAAAGTGTTATAAAATTGAAGCTGCTGTAAAAAAGGAGGGGGATGCTGTATGGTAAAGCAATTACCCACCAGCCATGTCTGTTGTGGACAGCTAATGGCTTTGCATTTAAAAGGCTTAATGGCCAAGAGCAACATCATGCAAATTCCTCTGTTAATTTTCTAAAAGGCTTCATGTAAAGCCACCCATTGAGCAATAAATCTGATTATGGAGATGAACCAACACCTACATTTGTCATGTTTTTCCTAAATGAGGGATTAGTAGCCAATGATATATCCGAGTTTTCTGCTCCTCTGACAGGCATTTAGATGAGTAAATAAGAATACTAGATTGAACCTCTACAAAGTAATGAGCTCTTCTGCCTAAAGGCTAAGCCAAAAAAGTCTCAACTGCTTCCTGTTGCAACATATATAATCAAGAAGACAGCCATGAAGAGTGTATACTATAAGTAGGGCCAGACAGAGTCTGCGGACATTTTTTGCTATTTTTGCACAGAATTTTGTAAAAATAAAATAAAATAAAAAAATCGGTGGATTGTTGGCGCAATAGCCTAGTGGTTAGCATGCCGACATATGGTGCAGTAGCACGTCAGGGCGTCCTGGGGTAGAATACTGGTTTAAGGACATTTCCCAACCCCATCCCCCTCTCTGTCTCCCACTTTACTTCCTGTTCTGTCTAATAAAAGCAAAAAGGACAAAAAATTCAGTGGATTTATGGAGAATTATTTTGGGAGTATCATAACTAAAAACTTTATACTAAATAAAAATAATATATTTTAAACTTTTATTTAATGTTTACAATGCAAATCCAATTACATCCACTTATTTGGTAAACAAAGCAAGTCTCTTATATAATATATCTACTAAAAGACTGATAATATTACTTTACATACTGTACTGTAAATAAATTATATAAACATTTTAATTTGGTTTAGTTATTTTTTATTGATTTTCAGTTTTTCAAATGAGAAACAACAACAGACCCCAAACCCATACCAATCCAACAGCGGGATAGCGCTCACATTAGCCAAAAATAAACAACTATACAATTGAACATGTAGGTTTAAATACAAATACAAAGAAATAATAATAATAATAACAATAAATAAAAATAAAAACAAATACAAATTTAAATAAATACATTTTACAAACATATAACCATACATACCATATGTACAGCAAAATCAAATTATTTGAGATTTTCCACATAATCAATAAAAGGTTGCCACACCTTAAAAAAATTCCCCTTCGATCCTCTTAATGAAAACCTGATTTTTTCTAAATAAAGACATGACATGGTTTCTCTAATCCACTGAGCATGAGTGGGAGGACGAAAATCCTTCCATTTTAGTAATATAGCCCTACGTGCCAATAAAGTCGAAAAAGCAATGATTTTACACTTTGAAGAAGGCAACTGTATCTTCTCTGAAGTAACCCCAAACAGTGCCATCTGTGGATCTGGATGTAGCTTGTGCTGAAGAATCACAGGTAATGTATTAAATATTAACCTTCAGAAATGGTCTAAGTTGGGACAAGTCCAAAACGTGAAATAAAGTGCCTTCAGGACAATTACATCTATTGCACAAAGAACTAGTACCAGGCAACATTTGGGCTAATTTAGTCTTAGAAATATAAGCTCTGTGCACTACTTTAAACTGAATGAGGGAGTGCCGGGCACACATTGATGCTGAGTGATTTGTTTTAAGAATATCTTCCCACAGATCATTCGAAATCGAACCACAAAGGTCCTCTTCCCAAGTTGTTATCTGTAAGGGAAGATGACTGGTCCAGAAGTAGATTATACAACATAGAAATGGAGCCTTTGAAATGGACAGGAAAGTCAGGTATGAGGGACCTAACATAATCTCTTATTTGCAAGACTCTGAAAAAATCAGACTTGAAAATTTTATTTCACTGTTATTATTATATCATAATAATATTCGTGAAATTAATTTAAAAACTGAATAAATCTCAATTTGGGCAGCAAGGTGGTGCAGTGGGTAGCACAATCCCCTCACAGCAAGAACGTCGCTGGTTCAAGCCTCAGCTGGGTCAGAAGGCATTTTTTTTGTGGAGTTTGCATGCTCTCCCTTTGTTCGAGTGGGTTTCCTCTGGGTGCTCCGCTTTCCCCCACAAGTCCAAAGACATGCGATATAGGTGAATTGGGTAAACTAAATTCTTCGTAGTGTATGTGTGTGATTGAGTGTGCATGGATGTTTCCCAATAATGGGTTGCAGCTGCTGGGGCATCCACTGCATAAAACATATGCTGGATAAGTTTGTGGTTTATTCCGCTGTGGCGACCAGAGATTAATAAAGGGACTAAGCCGAAAATAAAATGAATGAATGAATGAATCTAAATTTAGACTGGATGGGCTAAAAATCTGCGAAAATCTGTGGATTTCTGTGTGCGTAGATTCCATGTGGGCCAAACTATAAGTTATTGTGATATTAAGCTATAATGGCCTGTGTGTGTGTGTGTGTGTGTTTATATGTCTGTGTGTGTGTGTGTGTGTGTGCGCGTGTTCAAGCTAAGGCAGATTACATTTCAATCACTGAAGGTCAGTGTTGGCTCATCATTTGCTTACATTAGCAGACTCGCTGTCTCTCTGGTAGAGATATTTCCATTATGGTTAAACTCCCACTATTTCCTGCAGCTTTGCAAAAATATATTCTATATTATTGTTCAGGCCTGACTGCATTGAAGCCAATGTTTGTGACTGTGTGGAGCCTTTGGTTCAAAAGCAGACAAAAACTATTGTCATTAATTTTTCAGTTAATTATCTCGCATTTCGCTTTTCATCGCTTGCAGCGTTCCGGCATGAAAAGGGAATAAAGAGAAAGCAGAGAAATGGAAAGATACAGAGACAGAAAGGCAGACAGGGTGAGAGAGGACAGAGGAGGGACACCGGGGACACGGTTTGATCCAGACAGAGCTTCAGGCAGAGCGTCTAAACCCACCTCTTTTATCTCCATCAAAAGAATTCATCAACAAAATCCCTACGTAACAAATATGAGTTACACCAAAACTAAAAAAAAGAGTGTTACAGAAAAAACCAAAAAAGAATTAGGGAAGCTGACTGAGCTCTGAATATTGTGATCAGCTCTGCAATGCTTTCATGCTAAGTGCTAATATGAAGATTAGAAGTACACCTTTAATTAATGTCTAAAGCATGACATTGCGTAGCACAATGCACTGCAGATAACAGAGAAAATATAATGGATTAACATAAAGCTGTGCAGATTCAGGAACTGATTCTTTCTTGCTGATTTAGTTCGCTGTGAAATTATGTCAGTGCTTCCTGACTATATTTATAGAGAGCAGGTTTTTGAGGCATAGTTTCTCTGACAGCTCAGTATGAAGCTGCTTTAATGACCTTGTGGCAAGAGAGGTTTTGCTGAGTCATGGTACTGCTAATTCTTCTATTACTCTCCTTACTGTAAAGTTTTTAAAGATAACCTCCACACCAGACTCTGCAATTAACATGTCACCACTTTAACTTTTGCGGTCACTGGTGCTTTTATTATTTAATATTAGGTTATGATAAATTGCTACATAAGGGTTTCAAGCTGGCTAAGTAATAAGAAGTGAGCAGATCATGTTCAGCCTACCTCTCACATCGGCTGAAAACCTGGCAGAGTGTCGAGAAACAAAAAGCTTCAGCTCCTGGTCCAAGTTACAATCGATGAGATTTGTGTCCCATGAACGGATTCCTGCAAGTCACAGTGAAAATACATATTGATCACGAAAAGAACATTTATTTTATGCACAGAGAGAGAGAGAGAGAGAGAGAGAGAGAGAGAGAGGAGAGAGAGCTTCTAGATTAGAGAGAGAGATTAGCTGCAAAATATGTATACACCCTACACACCATAAGAAATGGTTAATGTAAACTCATGTATCTTATTTAAATAATTTAAACTTTTTATTATTATTATTATTATTATATTTGTCAAATGTATTGTTTTTTGTGTGTATCATTATATCTAATCTGTATTATTTTTAATTTTTCAATGGTTTTAATATATTTCATATTTGAAGTGCTTTGGCAATACTGTATTTAATGTCATGCCAATAAAGCAACTTGAACTTGAGAGAGAGGGAGAGAGAGGGAGAGAGAGGGAGAGAGAGAGAGAGAGAGAGAGAGAGCACTGTAAATGTGTAACAGATCTGAAAACCAGATCTCCAAAACAACATTTTGCATTACATTGGATCAGTCTAAAAGGGAAGTAGCCTATTCAAATAATCAGATTGGGTTTCAGATCTTTCCTGCATATATTGAACTGAAGCCCAATATCACTTATATTCACATAGCTAAACACTGGGCTCTACTGTTTGCATGCAAAAGTCAATCAATGTTTGGAAATATCTATGAAATGTCTGAGAATGGACGTCATTGGCAATTCGCATAACAATCAATTGTTTGCCAGATTTTACTCTTTGAAAAGTAACAGAACTGTGGGAAATTGAACATTCCTCAATATCAGATATATTTCAGAAAAGTAATGGCTGTTCATAGTGTTGACATGTTTTGTTTTTTGTGATAGCTAACTTTCCACCCTCGTGGGATCACCAATAAATAAGAACCCTAAACATGCTTAACTGTAATTCCAATGCCTTCAATCCAAGAATAGAAATAAACTGTTATTGCTATGGGAAATTAATGGTTTTATTGTTTAGAATTTTAGAAGTTTTTCAATTTCTTTAATGACAGTACATAAAATTACAGCACAGCAATCTTTCATTTTGATCCAGTTATTATGCAAGATAAATATTGTTTATTATAATGTTTTTCAAAATAAAAAAGCAGATACACTTTCATTGAGGTGAATCCAGTAGCAAGTAAATCTGAACAATCATGCACTGTTCAGAACTGAAGCAGAGACCTCAAAGCAATGCTAATGCCTCCTGATAAGCAAAATCAAAGAGTGAGGATCTTTTCCTTGTGTAATGTCACGCTCACAGGGATCTAATCAGAGACTATTTGCTTCCCAAACAGTGGCAGTAACTAAAACTGTCTATTAGTTCACAAGGGAATCTTCTCATTTTGATCTTTTTAAGAAGATGAAACTGATAATAAAATGGTGTGAATGATTTGTGAAATAGAATGAGGCTGCTTTCATTTCTGAAGGGCTCGTCTCATGTCCTAATCCTTTCGAAAACTTGCGCTCCAGAGTGGCAGCTTCAAAGGAATGAAGAGTGAATCTTTCAGAAAGTGTATGTGTATGTATATGTATTGAGCTGATGATAATAATGTGCACATGATTATTGACGTTTTAAAAACCCAATCCTTTCAGAAACTGACAAACGTGAGAGTGAAGCGCGAAAAAATAAAGGAGAAGCTGGGAAAAAGGAGCAAATTATTTTTTCAGCAAACTTGAATAAACTGCTATGTTTAACTATTATCATCACCTTTTGGACTATTATGAACTCAGAATGATGAAAATATTTTCAAACAAGAGGTTACATGTGCTGCTGAAAATTACAGACATACAGTATGAGAGGTTTGCACTGACTGTGGGCTATATTTCGCGTTGTTTTTGAACCATAATAAGGACTAAATGTATGCTGTGTGTAGTTTTTCTGTAATTGATAACATATCAGAGACTGTAAGGGGCAGTATGTGCTCATATATGTTGCACTTATTTATTAATTTTATATAATTGCAGACGTTACAGTAGTTACAGTACGTTACAGTAGGCTATTTCGCGCTGTTAATGATCTGCAGTTATAATCAAATTATGCTCATAGAAAAGTTAGTAATAAACATTTATTAACAAGTATTTATGTGTATAAAGCGTCTGTTTTGTGAGAAGTGCTTCTCATATGATATGTGAATGACCCGTACAGCTTTACTGTAGACATTTTCTGGAGCAAAAGTGACGTTGACTAAAACTTTCTGTCGTACACCAAGCCCACCAAAAGAGTACCATTGGTACCCTTTTAGCAGTGGAAACACAAGCCTGATAAAGGTGACCCGTACCGACCCGTACCATACCGTACTGTACCACTCAGTGGAAACGGGCCATATAAGGCACATTTATCCTGTTTGGTTGCATCAGAATCGAACGGACAAGAAGGGGACTCGCTAAAACAAACAGATATGTTATGCTTGATGACCTGAGACAGTGAGCCTGTGAAGCACAGTAAAACTGAAAGTAAAGTTTAAAAAAGTTTAGTGCGAAGTCGACAAACTGAAACACTTAATTAAATACCAATAATGAGAATCCCTCTTTATTCTACAACTGTTTTAAGCTAAATTTGGACTGCACAACTAATTTTATCCTCAACTCAACACAACTTAACTGTGTTTCTAACGCACTTTCAAACAACCAGTGTACCAAAGTGGTGTACATAAAAACACAAAATACATACAAACAGCCCAAATACATACAATTTACAACACAGGATTAAAAGCTAAAAATAGGTGTTTTTTCATTGACCTCTGAAATGTCTCTAAAGTAGGAGATATTTTAATAAGACAGTAGACTGAAAGTCTAGGAGCTGCCATTGAAAAAAACCCTTTCAAGAGCATTTCATTTTAATCCTCTTGTAATTCAGAAAAAGAAAACGAGATATAAAGTCACTATTCTAAATGTTGTTGTAGAAAAACCAAGTGTATGTTACTTTATTGTTTATTTGTGAGTCTCTAAACTTGTAATTATGAGAAACACAATTAGGTGACCTTTTTCATTTTTACTCCACAGAATAAGTGTCCACGTAAGTAGCCTACACTTGCTGAAAATAAGTTATGAGTTTTGTCATTGGTTGCAGTGTCAAATTCACGAGGCACATGGGCTACTTTAAACACATTATTTATTATTTAGATATCGAAGCATAGGTTAATTTAAAAACCAATAAGCGCCAACATGCTGCTTTGTTGAGCTTATTTAGACATATGATCACGTGACAACGTACGCTTCGTCTTCTTGACTCGCAAGGAACAGCCAAATAATAGAAACGAACCGATGTGTGAAATGACTCTGGTGTCCCATAACTAACCGAAACGCCCTTTTTGGCAGGTACACGGGGCCCTTCTGACTTTCCGTAGGAACTGCAGTGCGGACGCGCCACGCCTACCAGCCGGTGTCGGACTAGAAACGAGTATGTAGAGGATGGGAATAAATCAGGATGCGTAGCAACAAGCTCCCTATGTCTAGTGAAGTGGACAAAAAGTTACAGTTTTGCCTAACAACGCCATTCTATCTATCTATCTATCAAATAGGGCAAGCCGTTTAATACTAACATTTTACTACTGATTTAATTAGGCGATGAGGTGATTTAAGTGTTTATAGCTTGATTATTTATGGCGATGCTCGAGAACCATCAAAAGTAAGATACAGTATAAAAAACGCGAGCTTAGGAAACAAAGAGCCGACGCTCGTCGTCAAATCCACGCAGACGTAGAATGATGCTGCACATCCAGACTGCAGAGCAGATCGATGCTCCACATAACGACCCTCCGCCCCGGCGAAACCAGATCGACACGCTATAAATATGCATGCTGAATCATCCTAGCCCACAACACAAGTCAAACACTGAAGTTCGGCCAAAAACAACACATCTGGACGACCCGATAGACACCCTGCGAAAACAGCGGTGGTGCTGATGGTGATGAGGATGATGGTAATGATGATGATGATGATGTCTTTGGGAATCGGGGTGGCGCGATGCGATCGCTTTGATAAGACATACAGTGCACTCGGTTACTAACAGGGAGGGGCTGCGCTACACTTTCCATACATATTCACACAACAAAGAAACCCAAAAACATGATGCACGGAAAGTTTCTTGCAGTCAGCAGAAATCACTTATTCAATTGACCCTTTTATTCAAGGTTACACGACTGAACTTGAAAGAAAGCGACTGCGGGAGATACATGTCTCCGATTGTAATTTTAAATACCCGGTGGCATAAATACATAAATCACTGGTGTCAGCGAAGCTACCTTTCTCAATGTCCGCAATGGCACACTTGAGATGCTCGTCAGTGACCAGCTCCCCAATGACCACCAGCAGGTAATATTTGCCCTCGTCGAAGTGCTGTGTCGAGGCTGTGGGTGATGCCGTGCTCCTGAGGCTGCCGACTCCGCCGAAGGGCGCTGGAGTTTCCGCAGTATCAACCAGCGTCGCCATTCTCTCTCAGACACGCTCTATATTTCAGTCTCACACACACTCTGTCACTCGGTGTCCGGCGAGCTGAAGTGAGCTGCTCTGTGGAGAAGGAGTGGCGCGGGCTTTTATATCCTCAGACTGAGTGTCACCGTGATGAGGAGCCGCCGCCGCTGCCTCTCCTCTCCTCTTCTCCAGCTGATGTCAGAGAAAATCATAAACCCGCGCGAGAGCGACTGGGACCCTGAAAAGCCTTACATAAGGATGTCCAGGATTAATGATCGGCAACACTGGACTTGTTGACATGTGGTTTGGGTGTCAATATCTATAAAAGTTCAGCCTTGAATTTATTTTTGTTGTTGTATTAGCCCAGCATTTTTAAACCTTATTTAACCTTTAAAACAATTTTTTTTGGTAAAATTAAGTTGTTTTGTTGTTGTTGATTCTAATGTTAAAATAGTTTTTATTTGAAACTAGTTGTTATTTATTTATTATTATTCATTTATTAATTTTCCTTCGGTTTAGTCCTTTTGTTTATCAGGGGAATGTTCACAGCAGAATGAACTACCAAATTATCAAGCATATGTTTTATGCAGCGGATGCCCTTCAAGCTGCAACCCAGAACTGGGAAAAAGTCATTCACACACATACACTACAAACAAGTTAGTATATTAAATTCACCTGTACCACATGTTTTTTGGCTTATGGGGAAACCGGAGCACCCGGAGAAAACCCACGCGAACACGGGGAGAACATACAAACTCCTCACAGAAATGACAACTGACCCAGCTGGGACTCAAACCAGTGACCTTCTTGCTGTGAGGCGACAATGCCAACCACTGCTCCGCAGTGTCACCATTATTCATTTTATTATTTGTTAAAAAAAAAAAATATTTATGAAATATCCATTTCTTCTGTCACAGTTGACAATTTATTGCATTTAGAAAATAATGTATAACATACATTTTAAAAATGTCTTTTTTCACCACATTTTTTGAGTGCCTTGGATTTCCTTTTGCTGTTTATTCTGATGAATCCCTTACCCAAAGAGCACCGACACATTATTTTATCTACTGAGCACTTTTTGTTTGATCTTGGATTTGTAAAGTTTAAATAATTTGTGATGATGATGTCACATGTGAATAGTCACAAGGATAACACTTTACCATCGTGTAATTACTTAACATGCCAAACATATTGTTTTTATTTCTATTGTATTTTTTATCTTTTGATTTTGTATTGAAATATGCCCATTGGGGCGACCCTTTAGCTGATCATTTGATTCACCGGTAAAATTTATTTATTTACCTTCAGCCTCTACATCTGTTCAACAGAATTCATGCTTATACAGAATAATGCACAAATATAATAGGATATATTTTCTATCTTTGTTTGCAACATTTTGTTGTCATGTTCTTCTGAGAAATCAGCACATTTAGAAAGATCTTAAAGACATGCAAAAATGAATTACTCTATACTGATAGCTCTGCACAAGACATTTGGCCAGTGGAGAAATGGTCGTGCCCAACTGAGCCTGGTTTCTCTTGCGGTTTTTTAACCTTCACTTTCAACAATTGGTGAAGTTTTTTTCTTGCTGCTTTCGCCAATGGCTTGCATGGTTAGATCTGCGCATCGATGGATGCTTTTCAGTGTTTGGACTCTCAGCAGGGAATATTAAAATACATTGAACTGAACTAAACAGAACTGAACTTAAACTCTGAAAACTGAACTGATACTGTTTCAAATCACTATGATCTTCTATGTGAAGCTGCTGTTACACAATCTACATTGTAAAAGCGCTATAGAAGTAAACATCAATTGAATTGAATTGATGAAGAAGAGGGTGTTCCTCCTTGTCCCATCTTGATGATGTCATGACAGGCAGAGTCATGGCACAGATTTTACAGTGCCATTATAATGGTGGATGGGCTCAAATACAGCTGTGTCATTGAGCTTCACCTGGAGCTGTGCAGCAGATTCACTGTATTGATCTCTCATATGCAAGTTATAGTGTTGATTAACAAAGACAAACGTATATATAAAGTACTTTTTGTTATCTATGTGTGTAAATATTTTAGGCAGATGAATTGGTTTGTCAGTCACAGCATGAGCCTGCATTGAAAGGGGGAAATGATTCAGTACATCAAAAATTCAGTATTTCACATCTGGAAAAGAGAAAGACTGTTATAAATATATAATAAGGTCACATGTCAGCCAGTCAGAGGTTTTTGTCAAATTGTGACAGAATGTGTCAGAAGAAAAGTAAAATAAAAAAAGAGATTGTGTATTTTTATAGCTGTATGAGAGAGGTTTACATTTGAAATAAGACAGGAGTTTGGGTTTCTGTGAGTCAGTTCTGGAGAATGAAAGTAAAGGAAGAGAATTAAATTATTTGAGCTGCAATTACGTGAAGTGGTGTGTGTCATGACAACGATGTTTGTTGCTATGGTAGCTGCACCAATGGGACCACAATCAGCCCATCGCGGCACGGGACACCAGACCAGACAATCATTACCATGGAATATACACAGTCTTTATACTGAGTGACCTGTGATGAGTGGGGCAAATGTCTGAACAATGTCTTTAATCGAACATTATTCATTGCGCTTACAAATGAATTAACAATTTTTTTATTTATTATTTTAAAGTATTTCAACACTATAGCATCAATATACGCACTGATATAATAAATTTAATACAAAATGTACACTGCTTATATTGTAAAATATTGGTAAAATTTTTACCAGGTATAAATGTAATACAAACTGCAATTTTGTTCTCTAACCCAAACTGCAATATTGTATAATAATTTAAAACAAACAAAAGAATAAAACAAATAATGTATTCACATTAAGTTAATATATTTAAAAGTCATTTATTCCTGTTGTTTAGTGTTTCCCCATCATTCAAGGTCACTTCAGAAATCATGTAATGTGATGCTCAAGAATTCTTTTCATTTTGAATGTTAAAAAGAGCTGGTCTGCTTTCATTTATTGTAAGCTGTGATTTATTATATTATAATATAATATAGTACGTACATTTTCCTTTATTCATCAAAAACAAATTTCTAATCAGCCAATCACATGGCAGCAATTCAGTGCATTTGGGCATGTAGACATGGGCAAGATGATCTGCTGCAGTTCAAACCGAGCATCAGAATGGGGAGGAAAGGTGATTTAACTGACTTTGAATGTAGCATGGCGGTTGGTACCAGACTAGCTGGATGGAGTATTTCAGAAACTGCTGATCTACTGGGATTTTCACACACAACCATCTCTAGGGTTTACAGAGAATGATCGGAAAAACAAAATGTTCTGTGAGCAGCAGTTCTGTGGGCGCAAATGCCTTGTCCATGCCAGAGGTCAGAGGTGAATGGCCAGACTGATTTAAGCTGATAGAAAAGCAACAGTAACTCAAATAACCACCCGTTACAACCGAGGAGCATCTCTGAACATGTCCAACCTTGGGACAGATGGGCTACAACAGCAGTAGACCACACCAAGTGTCACTCCTGTCAGCTAAGAACAGGAAACTGAGGCTACAATTCACACAGGCTCACCAAAATTGGACAATAGAAGATTGAAAAAATGTTGCCTGGTCTGGTGACATTCGGATGGTACGGTCAGAATTTGGCATCAACAACATGAAAGCATGGATCCATATTGCCTTGTATCAATGGTTTAGACTGGTGGTGGTGTAATGGTGTGGGGAATATTTTCTTGGCACACTTTGGGCCCATTAGTACCAGTTGAGTATCGTGTCAACACCACAGTCTGCCTGAGTATTGTTGCTGACCATGTCCATCCCTTTATGACCACAGTGTATCCATCTTCTGATGGCTACTTCTAGCAGGATAATACACTAAAGCGCGAATCATCTCAGACTGGTTTCTCGAACATGACAATGAGTTCACTTCACTGAAATGACCTCCACAGTCACCAGAATAATCCAATAGAGCACCAATCCATCAATCCAATAGAGCACCTTTGAGATGTAGTGGAATGGGAGATTTGCATCGTGGATGTGCAGTCGTCAAATCTGCAGCAACTGTGTGATGCTATCATGTCAATATGGACCAAAATCCTGAGGAATGTTTTCAGTATCTTGTTGAATCTATGCCATGAAGGAATAAGGCAGTTTTGTAGGCAAAAGTGGGTCCAACCCAGTACTATTAAGGTATACCTAATAAAGTGGCCGGTGAGTGTATATTAACGATAGCAAAATTTCAGCTTTGAATTACACAAATTAATTAATTGTAAAAATTGTACATTGAAATATAAATAAATTGCTGTTTTATGGCCTTTTTGATCAAATAAATTCAGCTCCAAATAGCTGATTTCAAAAACATAAAAAAAACGTTTATGTTTTTAGTAATATAACAAGTACATAGAGTATGATATCTGATATCTGACTCTTAATATACAAGCACAAATATTTTAGAATTTACATGCATGGCAAATAATTAGACTAGTGACTAAGAGACAAAGACAAAGAGACTAGTGTTAATCAGGCAAATCTTCCTGTGTACTAGACAATAATCAGTGGGGGGCTATTTGAGGGTTTAAAAAAGCTAATGGCCACATGCTCTGAGTTGTGCGGAAGACACTCACACCAACTCATCTAAGCAGTCATGTGGCAACATTATGGTCAACTGCACCTGAAAATAAAATGGTCTCAGTGTAATTACTGTGAAAAACACGTCATTATGTCAGGCCGTGAAAACCAGTAAATTACAGGAATGGCAGGGCAGGCAAGCTTGACAGTTTTTGGCCTGAATAAGTGTGTGTTGTTTTGATGAGTCATAAGGGGCTCCTGCTGATCTGTCTTACTGAGAGCCTTGCTCTGTCTGAAGCTGCCATTTACACACTGGTACACACTGTCTGTCTGACACCGTCACAAATGGGTCAAATTGGGCAAAAGAAGGATGGAGAAGAATATGCAACTACCAGGATTAAAATAATTGTCATAAAGTCATGTTTTAGCATCGCCATGTTGTCCGCAACATTACATGTTTTAAAAATGAAAATGTATTTGTATTTAGTAATGGAAATACAGCTGTTCATTTATGCTGTAAAATATTGAAAACATTATTTTAAGCTGGTTCCT